ACAATAGCGCATCTGCTTATTGGTAAGATTCATGGGGTTGCATGTCTGCCAAATTTTCTTTGGACATTAGCTGAACAAATACACTAATTCCGCGAGGCCATGCTCCGGAATGAACTAGTTAGTATGGCAGAATTTTCAGGGAGTCCCACGAACTCCTGCACATGTCAAATCAGGGAGTCCGACAGTAAATCAGAGAGCATTTAACTACCGTTAATTTCGCACCCTGTAACCGTGAATAAATTGGTCCCTAGCATTCGTAATAGAATGTTTCTATAACCCTGCGGCAACTGTATACGGCTATAGTACTAGAACTACATAGTCTATAGTACTAGAGCTACATAGTCTATAGTACTAGAACTACATAGTCTATAGTACTAGAGCTAGGCACTACGATGTCGACTACAACGACGATGACACTCACCAAGCAGCGACGCGAATAGGCAGAAGCGGTTCGGGTGAAGGTCAAGCGACTTTGCGACTTCATCCATGATGTACTCCTTCGTCTCAAGGTTGCCCTTGAAGGTCAGCTTAAGGTTCTCGGCGGAGAAGTAGCGTGGCGGGTCGAACACGGCGTACTCCGCGTCCTGGGCAACGATGCCGAACACCCGGTTCTCCCGGCAGAACGCTATCACCTTGTTTAAAGCCACAATTTTGAGAATTATCAAGTGTTTTCCCCACTTCTGTGATACATTGTCCATAGACTTACACGTCTCTCGCACAATCTCGTTTGCACAAACAAATTACAAAGTCTCACGCGGCAGAAAGCTATCACCTTGTTTAACCACACATTTATAAAAAAAAACTGTTAAAAACTACAATTTTAACAACATATAGCAGATAGGAGAACAATGAAGCTATTAATTATGATGTATTCTGAAGGAATATATGTATATGTATGTATGTACAGGGTGCAAAATTAACGGAAGTCCGGAGTCAAATACTCCACGATTTACTGTCAGACTCCCTGATTTGACATATGTAGGAGTCCGTGTGACTCCCTGAAAATTCTGCCACACAAACTAGTTCGTTCCGAAGCACAGCCTCGTGGAATTATCGTATTTTTTCAGCAAATGTCCAAAAAAAATTTGGCAGACATGCAACTGCATGAATCTTAGAAATAAGCACATGCGTTATTGTTAATATCTTTAATTTTAAACCTCAGACTGCAGACTCTGCGTCGCGCGTAGTCGAGCCGTTCTGATAGTACAACACGGACTGCTTCAGTTTCTCCGCCAGCTGCTCCTTGCCCCGAGTCGCGCTCTTGAACACGATCTCCGTTATGGCGTCCATGTTGTCGATGGACGGTAGCGCCCTCACGAAAGCGACGGCGGCGCGGATCAGCTTGTCCGGCTCCGTCTGCTGGCCCTGTCGTGCGCGCCGAGAAACAAGAGACCACGATCGATACGCGAATTACACTACATAAATTTTAATAATAAATAATTTTTATTTATTAAATTTTATTCCTAATTTACATCAACATTATTTACTAATTTTCACGCGTCGAAAAACAATTTATTACGCTGGCAAAACAGACTGCGTCAGAATCAATCTGCGAGGAATAACACTATTACATTACTTTTGAACTTGTTTAAATTTTAATATTTATTTTATTTATTTAATCTACTCATTTAAGTTTTATATTATTTTTTTAGATTTTATTGTAATTACGTCAAAGTGTTATTTACTAATTACAAAAACGAAAAACCATGGGCGAGCGCGTCCAGAGTAATTGCCTTACATTAAAACACTATTTACTAGGGTAAATGTAAGCTTAATTTAATTAACAGGACGACCTATATAGGCTCTTAATAATTATCGTGCGCAACGCGTTTGGAATGGACACCGTTACCCGGCAACAACTCATCTCACTAGCCACGCCTTAATTCACTCGCCAAAACAGGGAGCCCGAAATAAAAACCAATTAATTATTATAGATTGAAAACAAAAATTTATTGAGTTAGTAATGTTGACGACCTTCATTTCCCATTCGACAGTTGAATTACTATGGTGCAGTGCAAAACCAAACCATATAACAAGGTGAAATTCACACTAAGGTTAATAGGAAAATGGTACATGTAAAAAGGTCACTCTGTTGTTGCGTTGCATATAGGATTTAGATGATATTTTCCCCTCATTGATAGGGACCCAGTACTAGCAAACTCGCTGTATGCTATAGATACTGGAAGCCTTATCATGCTACCACAGACCGCAGATAACACATATCTGGTTTCAGACCTTCTACATACACAGGACTTAGTCTGACCTTTGCTCGGTTAGAACCCCAGCAGTGCATAGACAATGGGTCTATGAGTAAAGTGTAATTTTGTTTCTGACCAGGTTTTGGTCGTGTGCGCGTGCGTGTGTGAAGTCAGGTACTATCTAGCGGAGTCAGATATTTCACGAGAACGTTTGAGTTCTTCCCGACACCCAAGTTGCTTTCGTCATTCTTCACCACGACACACATGATAACGCAGTAAAACAATGCCGCGTCAACTTGCTCACCTTTTGACCTTCATCCTGGCTCAGCAGCACCTTGTGAAACTCTGTTAAGTCCGGCTCGTGCAGAATGTGGTTGCCTGGCGACACAAAACAAACACGTTTTATTGTTAAACGATTCTGCTCTGAATTTTTTTCCGAAACAGTGCTCCCACACGTCATCCAACACCGCCGCCATGGTTTAAGCAAAACACTAGTGGGAGGGTATAAGGCATACAGTATGTGGACCTCCGTACAGCAACCTTCCTCTCCCTCACCCCGCCCTGAGAAGGATATCAGTTTCTTTTCGTAGAAGGAAGTGCAACTGGCACAAAGAACGAGTACAACTGAGGGAGGGGGAGCAGTATTAGTCTCAAGTTCTCAACGTTAGTCTTAATATCAACTTTCGTCTCATAGACAATGACAGAAACTCAGGTAAAATCAAGTTTCTTGTATGCTGTGTACAGAGGTCCGGTCTACAAGAAAAAGTTAACGTTAAGATTAAACGTTTAGACAAATTTAGTTTCTGACGACGAGGGCCCCCCGGGTTTTGGTCGTGTGCGCGTGCGTGTGTGAAGTCAGGTACTATCTAGCGGAGTCAGATATTTCACGAGAACGTTTGAGTTCTTCCCGACACCCAAGTTGCTTTCGTCATTCTTCACCACGACACACGACCGCCGCCGCCGTGACGACGACTCGATACGCCGTGTGCGACGGTAAATCTATTATAACCGCGGGGAGCAGTTGCAGCAGGAAATGTAGACGGATTAACCGCACGCCGTAGCGATCTATCCGGTATTTTCGTCATTACAAAAAGAGAAGCCGCACCCATTCGATTCTGCATCAGAGGGTGTCTTTAATCACAGAAGCTTAGAATTACGTTATGTTTACGCTGAAGTAAGGTTTACGAAAATGCATGTATTGTTACTAATTCGCTCTTGTCATCGTCCTGCTGCATGCTCTTTGTCATCATCTGCAGCTGCGCGCGCACGCTCTCTCGTCATCGTCTGCACGTCCGCGCCGCACGCTCTCTTTCATCGTCTGAACCTCCACGCCGCACGCTCTCTTGTCATGTCTTCCCCGCCGCGCTACGCTCTCGTTGTCATCGTCTGCGCCTCCGCGCCGCACGCTCTCTTGTCCACGACGCCGGCGGCAGACATGTTGTCATCATC